TGGAGAAAATGTTTCCTCATAATCAATGCCATACTCCTGTGTATGACCCTGGGCCACAAGATGAGCTTTGTATCAATCTAGAGAACCATCAGGTTTCAACTTGATAAAGTAAACCCACTTGCTCCAAATGATAGAGCCATCTAAAGGAGCTGGGATGAGGTCCTGAGTGACGTTCTCGTGTAGAGATTGAATCTTTGCATCTATGGCACCTCTCCACTGAGGACTGCTAATGGCCTGCTAGTAAGAATAAGGAATATCTGTGGAAGACAAAACAGTAGGAAAGGAACTATAGTCTGAAGGAAAACCATAGTAATCGGATGGTCTAGAAACAAGAGTAGAATGACAAAAAGGAACGAAAGGAACAACATGGGTATTTGAAACAAGAGTATCACTTACATTACATGGTGATCTTAGATGGACTAAGGATCTGGACCAAGAGGAAGGGGGGTCAGAGGCACAGGCACTAGACCATGAACTCGCTTACGAGAGAAGACGAGAAGATCCTGTATAGTAGTTGAAGACAAAGCATCATGTGAATCAAAGTCATACAAAATAAAAACAGAAGGTGCAGATATGCTCAAGAAAAACCACATTCCTAGAATTACGAAAACGACGGGCAGAGGGATCATAACAAAGAAACCCTTTGTGTTTAAGATTGTATCCCACAAAGGCACACATGACCAATTGAGCTGAAAGTTTAGATAGTTCACGAGAGGAAACATGTACAAGACATAGACATTCAAAAACATGAAGATGAGAAAGATTTGGATTGGAGGGCAACCAAACATTTTATGTTGAGGAGATACACGACCGTACTAGTTGCCTCTACCCAAAATGAAGAAAGCGCATGTGCCTCTTGCAGAAGAGTCCTCACAACACTGAGAACATGGCCATTTTTCCATTCTGCCACACCATTTTGCTAAGGAGTGTATGGATAGCTCCATTGAATTTGTATGCCATGATGTTTCAAATAACCATGAGATTCACCACCACTATAATCTCCCCCTGAGTCAGAGCGTAAGATCTACACACTTGATTGAAACTGAACTCAAACCATAGCATGAAACAACTGAAAGCTTGGAAAAACTTCTGACTTCTGTCTAAAAAAGTAGATCCAAGTGGCTGATTCTTCTTCACAGTACCCTTAGAGGGACAAACTAGGCAGTCCAAAATGATATTACCATGCTGTTTACAATAAGTACAAACATTCTTTTTTCTTGCAGTGTGAAGCTATGTGTCCAAACCCTCTACATTCATAACATTTGGGTTTTAAAAAGATCCTTTCCGCCAGATTTCTTACTCCCTTGTGCAATAAAAACTATATCAGCCCCTGAGTCAAGTTGCTTCCCCTCTATGTTTGCAGCAATCATGAGTCTAGTCACTTCCCTCAACAACTCTCCATCATATAATCAAAATCCGGAACGGTGTCTCTGCTCAAAATATTAGACCTTATTATCTCATATTCAGGTCTCAGTCTAATAAGGAACTGGTTCACCTTCCTCTCTCAAAATGTTGTTGCAGATATTTAACACACTCTAATGAATTAGACGAGTCAAAGTAAACCAGTTCATATTCTACCCATAAATCAATGAAGCCCGCATAGTGTTCTAGTATCTTTTTCTCACCCTAGTTGTAAATAAATATTTCAAACTCAATCTGATATTGTCTTGACAAGTTGGACTGGTGATACACCTTTTCCAAATAGGAATACATCTCATAGGTTGTTCGTAGTCTTCTCATAGAATCCAAGAGACTAATTTCCCATTGTCAAGCTTCCACTGGGTAAAAGCCTTAGTGTCTATTTCATTAGGTTTACAAACTGTCCCATTTAAAAAGCCTTTCAGCCCCTTTCCTTCAACAAAGAAATCAAAATGGAACTTCCACATACTGTAGTTGGTTCTATCAAACTTCATCAGAATAATGTCCTTTTCAGCCATCACAAATAAAAATAAACAGTCCAGAAAAAACGTAAAGAAACAGAAGAGAAACCAGGTCCAGATATGTATAATCAAACAACTTCAGTTGTACAGTCCACAGAAATATAACACCCTATAGAGGAATCAAAATCACCAAAAAGCATGCCAAAACAGATCCAACTTGATAGTTCTTAGTGTTAACAGTCCAAACCAGCAGTGTTCCAGGACTGTCTAACTGAAAGAAGAGTGAAATATCTTTCAGAGCTCATAAAGAACTACAATTGGGTAGTTAGGAAGAAGAAAACACTAGGGCAACACCAAATCTAGGGTCCCAAGAGAAAGGAAGAAGCTGATTGAGCAGAAGAGGGAAATACACCAACCTCCTCTTTACAACTTGGATAAAAGCTGGAGAGACCAAAATCCAATCTACAATCAAGTTACTGACAGCCGCTACAATCTTATGGAGATTCCAGTATTTGTCTTCGAAAACTATTCTATTTATTTCCTTCCACACGTTCCAACAAATAGCAAACAGTAAGCAGCTCCAGAGAGTTCTTTCTTTTTTATTTCCTCTTAACTTTGGCCAAGTAGAAAAATTTCTGCTGCAGTTTCTGGCTGAAAATTTGGAAATCCAAACAGTGAGGTGTAGAACTTCCACAAGAAACCAGCTACCTTGCAAGATATGAAAAGATGAGTAACAGTTTCCTCCTGTTCTATGCAAAGAAAACACATGCTGGCCATGCAAAAGCCCCTGGACTTCAGATGATTCACTATCAAGATATTGTCCATTGCCACGAGCCATGCAAATGCCTCGATATTTGGGGGAATTGGAATTCCCCAAACGCTGTATCTGAGTCATCCCTAAGAATGGCCAAATATCCACTTGAAACTCTTTCCACCACAGTTCACCCCTTATTTGAGGTGATGGCTTTGTTTCCTCTAATTTCTCCAGCGGGTGTAAGCATTCCTCCACCTCTCTGTCTATTAGAGGCCTTCTGAACTTTGGACACCAGATCAGCTGATCCCCCCTTCTATCATAGCAATCCTTTATAGATACTTCATCCTCGGCCCGTCTGTATAACCTTGGATACAGTTCGCATAACTTGCCTGCCCCACACCAATCATCTTCCCAAAATTCATGATTACTTTCCAGACACTCATCCAATAAGAAGATCTCACCTTTTTGGATTCCCACCCGAATCTTACCATCCCATACTTTCCCACCACCATTCTTCTCCATAAAGCATTATCCTCCTTTAAGATAAATCTTCATAACCACTTCCCTACCAAAGCCTTACTGAAGTCCTTCACTCTCCTGAAACCCAGTTCAAATAGATGCTTTCCCAGAGAGTTCTATGAACATTTCCCTTGCTGAAACCGCAAATAGAGTAGCTAGGCTAGGGTTGATCAAAACAGCCCTAGCTTCAGTTGAGGAGTTCTGAATTGACCCCACCCCAAAGGGTGGGTGGGTGGGTGTGTGTGTGTGTGTGTGTGTGTGTAATACAACAAGGACCACAGTAATATAATACATCATTGGGACTGTTAACAAGTTGCACCCTTATTTAGCACCCCAAACAATTATTATAATGGCTTGTTTAGTAGTAGCTGTTTTGCACTTCATTGATTCACACAACGGAGTGTAGTGGCCCATTTGCACTCTCTCTCTCAGCTTGTGTTTTGTTGGTTTACCCTCCTACAGAAGATTTAGGTGTAAAGCAGGTGGAGATCAAGGATCAGAGAAAAATAGCCAAGGCTGGTTTGGGGAGTTTTGGGCCCTGAATTTTCAAACGTTCATATCATAGAGGCTAAAGCTCTGGTGTTTGGGGTGAACATCTTTTTCATTTCTTCTTATACTTCAGAAGTTATTTGATCTGGTTAATGAAAAAAAAAAATATGGTACATTTGTATTCACAAAAAACATGAGTTGGCAAATGTATCAGCCATGACCAAACAAGAACCAGGTTTTAGGAATCTCCTCAAGATGTTGAGGATTTGGGGAGTAAAACAGACCTCTTTTATTGTGAATGGAGGGACCTAAACCCTCAGGTGTTCTTAAGTCAGAAAGCCAGGTTCCACATCTAAAAATATAAAATTAGTGGACAATTGAGAGATTATATTTTTCTCCTTGTTCACCAAGCCTTCACTTCTCCAGCTTTCCATCCCCCTCTCTATCTCCATTTTTTCTATTCAGTGTACCAGTGTGGGATTACAATCTTCACAGCACTTTCCCTTCAGAATCTCAGATGGTTGAGCCCAAACTTTGACTTCCTAGCTCTTGATTGTCTATTCTTTATAGGTTTCAGTCAATTTCCTTTTGAGTCTCCTCCACCCCTATTTTGTATAAAATTCTGATCTTCAACATTGACCAAAAGGTTTTACAGAGTAGATTTACCAAAAAAAAGCAGATCAACTTTCTTTTTTCATCCTTTTACCAGCATATAATCTTCTTCCTTCTAAAAAGCTTCAAAATAAATGAAATTCTTAACTTCTGAGGATGGAGGAGAGAAAATCCAAAGCATCTTAAGTTTTGTTCAATTGTGTCAATGAAACTTTCCAGTTTTATTGTTAGCTTACTTGAGGAAAGGAGATGTAAATCTTAATTTTCACAAGAGCTCAACAATGTAGAATTTTGAAAAAAAAAAAAAAAAAAGATGAATACTTGGAGGTTGGAATTAACCTGTTTCCCCTAAAATATCACCTACTTCATGAATTTTGGTTATTTTCTCAAGAACCATAACAGAAAATTTTCAATGTATAACAATCCCACCAGTGCTGACAACACCATTTATGATTTTCTATATATAAAAATCTCAGCTAGTGCTGACAATGCCATTTATGATTTAACTGCCTAAAATAGTTGGGACTAAAGATGTAACATAAAATGCTTCTCATGCTTTCTATTTGTTTGTTTATGGTTAGACATTGCACTAGAATCTACATGACTTACGTACTCCAGTGGTTCCTGCTTTCAAATTATTAGATCAGATTGTGTAACAGAATAGCAAATTATATGCAAAAATAATGTCAAAAGATCAAAGAAATTTGCTGCAGGAATGCTACTCAGTTAAGAGTTGAGATACATACCCCCTGGTAAAAACCAACTGCAACTCCATAGTATACCGATAGAACTTGGTTAGCCCGTTCATAAATGTGTGCTAATGGAAGATACGATATATAACTGCCAAAATCAACAAATTACTTCAGTAAACGAATGTGAAGTAGCTGTATATAAGTAACATTTGCAGTATACTGTGTAACAGAAAGAAATCAAATAAACTCACACATCTGAGGGGCAGAATTTGAGAGAAAAACTAGCACCAGCAACATTTGCAATCAAATTTCCATGAGTTAATACAGCTCCCTTCTCAGAGGAACAAAACCACATTATGTAGTTAATATAAGAACCAAGATATTACCAGAAAACACTTCGGACACAAAAGAAGATAGGGAAATCAGTTAACAAAAACATAAAATATAATACCTTTGGTGTCCCAGTTGTAYCACTAGTATAGCAGATGGTTGCAACATCTTCCGGTTTTGGAGGGCAAAAAGGCTGAACTCTACTATGACCCTAAATGCCATCCAATCATATAATAATAAAACAATTAAACCATAGCAATCAAAATAAAACAATTAAACTAATTTGCCAGAAGATAATGAAAAATAGCTCAATCTAATCAGGAAAGAGAGCCATGTTCAATAAATCCAAGAGAGATAAAAAGCTTCTCCTTTGAGCTGATACAGACAAACATAAAATTTAACAAAATATATATCAGCTGAGGACCTGAGGTTTCTCATAATGTGCAAAATCCATTGCATCTTCAAAAGGATTTTAAATCAGTGTGAATGAAAGCAGGAACTTGCAACACGCATTAAAGATGGTGATTTTGTGAAAAATAAAACCCTTCTGGAAATCTCCTAGGAACCATTTAAATGTATTAGAAGCAAACATTACCCTCTTGGGTATACTGCAGCTCCCAAGAGAGTAAGTCCAAACCAGACTCTCATATTTGGACTCCTGTCATTCTGCTTCTTTCTCATTTGCATCTTCCTCTGTGGAACAATCTCATGATCCTATATCCCAAGCTGTTTTCCAGTTTTCCATTTGGAGAAGGCTGGTCCCAACAAAAATTAGGGCTTTCTGCTTGGTGGCTTTTCATAAGAAGATAAATAGTTTTTGTCTTTGATTGGTGTATATGAAGATAAATACTTGTGACTTACTCTAAAACAAGAAGCCTTACTGGCGCCTATCACCCAATATGTGTTTCTTATGCAAAGCAAATGCTGAATCTTCTTTTCATTTGTTAATCTCCTGTTCATTTGAATCAGGTATTTGGGAGATTCTCTTTTCACTTTTTGGATGCAAGTAGACCGCTTATTGGTCTCTTGTTTATTTGTTACATGTATTTTAATATAGTAATATATATACTATAAATTTTACATATATAAAAAAATATATTATAAATAGTATATATCTGAACTATTTAAAATTATAGGTAAAATATAAAAAATACTAAACATATATAAAACCTCTAGGCCAGGGCAGGCTGTCTAGGCCTAGGATTTGCTTGGCCCAGGCCCGGCCTGCATTATGTTCAAGCTTGATAAAGGCCTGGGCAGAAATGACCAAACCCTAGTACAGGAAGCCTAGACCTTTCCCTCCGGTGGATTTGATTGCGATACAACCATTTCTTCCCCTTTGCATCCTGACATAATTCTTTCCTTATTAGCTCAATAGCTAGCTATAAGGAATAATGATAGGACAACAACAACCAAATAACCAAAAAGGGGTAGCCATAATGAATATAACCAGGTTAAGAAGTTTTGTAGATCGGGTCAGACAGAGTACTTCAAAGACAAATCTGCCACAATGAATGCAACCGATCCTGCTACATTTCATATATGACCACTTCTCGTCCTACTACTACTAGTCTAGTGAAGTACAGATACAGAAAGAACAAGGTTAAACAATTACTAACATAGCCATAGTTTTTTTCTGAGGCTTCATGGGGCTACACAACAGGGGTAGCCCATCCCCTTAACCCCCCAACCCTAGTAGTCGTGGGATTTGATCCCACTGCTACAACGAATCAGAGATCTACTGGCATACCCATAGTTAAAAGATGCAGATTAAACACAGGAGTCATTTATCCTTAATAGTGCAAAAACAATTTAAAGAAAGAAAAATAAATATTAGGGTTCAAAATTTCAATAGGTAGAACCTACTTCCTAGACCTGCTATCGTTCCTACTGTCACATTTTTCTAGCCCCAATATCATTTTCTGCTTTCATGCATAAAATAATCTTTAAAGCATTCAATCATTACTCCATAATTGTGTTTCCATAAATAGATGCATAACTGTAGATAAAGAAGAAAATGCAATTACCTCACTAAGTAATTTTGAATATGATATAACTTCAACCCCTGCTGTTGATGGAAGTGATGGTATTTGTCCATCTAAACCTCCAACTACCTGTGACAGAGAGTATATATAAAAATTGACAACTGGAAAATCAGCATAAATCATATTTTCAGCTTGTTCAAGGCCAAAATAAAAAACAAGGGGGATCAAGTGAAATTTTCATACCACTATTAGACGTACTGTTGGGATCTCAGATAAGAAGCTCAGCAACTGTAAATTCCAGGTGACTACATAAGAAATGTTGCAGGAGCACAGTTTGGACAAACAACATATGAATGTGGCGCATTCAAAAGAATTTTGCATAAGAGACATGAACACAAGCAATCAGTAAATCTAAAAGACTTCAGAGGATTATACTTTGATACCATAAAAAATACCAATAGACAACTGAACTCAGCCTCAATCCAAATTATTTGGGGTAAACTACACAAATCCGGTCCTGCCATTGTGCTCCATCAAGAGCCATGTTTTCTATCAAATGATTGAGTCATCAAATCCTCCAGTTACTTCCTTAATATCCTTCTCTCTTGCTTATCATTTTCTCCAAAGGTTCCCTCTCCTTCTTTCTCATCCAAAAGCTCAATTTGATCAATTACATCTTGCTTTCTCTCTTCTAATCTCCAAAACTGTCAAATGTTCCAGTCCATTATTTTGGCTTTCAAAGCTTTCAGCTTATGATGAAATTTCAGACCCTCCCATTTTATCATTTGATTACTCTCTCCCCACCACTCCTTAACTTTTTCTTTAAATACTAGATGACAAAGCCACATATATCTCAAACCTAAATGGAGTTGGACCCTTCCCCTTTGATCATCCCTGGACAAGGAAATTGGCTAATGATCAGAAGTTATTCTAATGCAAGGCCCTCGAGGCCAAATCTTCCTAATAATTCTCCAAATCCACTGCGAAAAGAAATCTATCAAGTTAAGAGCAAGTTGGGTTGGTATGGAGATTGGACCACATGAAGTTGTTGTGCAAGAGAGGCAATTTCTTAAACTCAAAAGAATTTACAAACTCATTGAACTTCCTCATGCTGGTTGTAGTTCTTTGCCTCGCCTATTGGATTCCTCAACAATCCTTATTACATTAAAGACCCTAGTCCCCACCTACACACTATGGCCCTTCCCACAATCCCCATATGTTTTATATGTTTGATTTTATTTTTAAATTCTCATTTGAATATTCTTTACATGTTATGTTTATGTATTTTAATTTTAGATAATAGGTTTTTTAAAACATTTATTTTAAAATTCAAGTTTATATTTTTATTAATATTATGTTTAATATTTTTTTGGCATTTCTTGAAGTTTCTGACAATTTTATTTTTTAGCATTTTTTTTTGCGCCTTGCTTCAAAAAGGTGCGCGCCTCGGGCACAAATTGGCCCCTATGCCTTGTGCTTTCAAAACACTGATCCCTCTCCCTATATCCATTAGGGCCATAAATGTCAATTTGGGAAACACCATCGTGTTCCCTTTAGTTCTAGGGTTGATAACCGTGTGTCGAGTCCTTTTTCTTTAATTCATTYAGATGTTTGGGGTCCTTATAAAGTGATGTCATATAATGGACACAGATATTTTGTTATTTTTGTTGATGACTTTTCAAGAATG